CACAGAATCAAGAAGACAATATCAGTAAGTGACAGTATCAGTGAAATTAAATTTGACCGTTTTATATTAGAGGTAAGGTCAGGTCAAGGTCATTATCTTTTTCCTTGTCATTAAGAATAAAAAAAATATTGTTGCCAATCATGTGATACCTACTTCTATTTCAAGAGTATAATGATTGTTCTTTTTGCATAAAAACATATTATTATATCAGGTCTATAGCATGATATTACCAATTTTACTTAACTGGATATTGTCTAATCCGAATTTTCTCTGTTTTTCTTAATTCTTTTAGGATATATTAGTTATTTTCATATGCTTCCTATATTTAACTTTTTCTTATTTTCACATATGATAAAGTAGTCTTATAAATGTACAAAATGATACAAAAACAAAAAGTTTTGATCGTTTACTAAGAGAGAAAAAAAAAACTTTTTATGGATTTTTGGCTCAAATCTGCACTTTGATAGGAAACGTTTAAAAGCTAACAAAGTTCTAGTTTGTTCGAAAAATCATACTTGTTTGATATATTTTGAAAGTTCAGTCCCTCGTTATTAATATAACTTACATTTGATTGTCTAAAAATGATGGCTAAATTCATTGCTTTATTATAATTTTGAGAGGCAGAATAGAAAATATTTTCATACGCCACCATTCCGCCAAAAATATAGTCCCTGCTAGTTTTCAAATACAGTTTACCATTTCTATTTAAAGTTGTACATTTCTGATGAGGAAAGAAAAATACAGTCTTTTAAATTCCTTACACCTAAATATATAAGACATATAAGCAAATATACTTTTAATGTTTCATCTAGTCAGAAACCAGAGAAGAATCCTACCTTAGAGACAATGGAGAGATAACTCAAAACCAATTTGAAATTTTGGATGAAACAAAGCAATTTTATGAAAATTTATACTCAACACCTAACAAAGAGTTTAAAAATATATGACTTAAATTCTGAATTAAATTTCAAAACTATACCAAAGCTTTTATTTGATGAATGTGCATCTTTGGAGGGTAAAATTACATTACAGGAGGCTTTTAATACACTTAGCAAAATGAAAGCAAATAAATCACCTGGTTTGGATGGGTTTTCAGCAGAGTTTTTTAAGGTATTTTGGCGATTTCTCGGAGTTTTTGTTATTAGGTCAATTACAGTAAAACTCGGTTATAACGAAGTCACTGGGACCTTTGAAATTACTTCGCCATATCCGTAATTCGTTATAACTGTATAAGAAAGTCATTAAATTTATATAGCTGGTGCTCAAGATGACTTCGCTATAACCGTAAGTTCACAATATCCGTGTTCGTACTAAACGAGTTTTGCTGTAATTATGCTTACGAAATTGATAGTCTTTCAGTCACACAGAGACATGGAATCATTACACTTTTGCCTAAAGAGAAAAACCAAGACAATATCTGAAAAACTTGCTCCTGGGTATTGAATAAACCGTCTAAGTACATAGTTACATGTAAGATGAGCAAGAGTGCCTCAACCAAAATTGTGAATTTTATTGCCCCAGGGTCAGGGGTTCTGGTGTTAGGGCGGGGCTCTATTGATTATATAGTGAAAATACATGAATTCTTTGAAAATCTTCTTCTCTGACCCTGGGTATTAAATAAACTTACTAAGTGCATAGTTATGATGAGCAAGAGTGCTTCTACCAAAATTGTGAATTTTATGGCCCCAGGGTCAGGGGTTCTGGTGTTAGGGCGGGGCTCTATTGATTATATAGTGAAAATACCTGAATTCTTTGAAAATCTTCTCTGCTCCTAGGTATTAAATAAACTTACTAAGTGCATAGTTATGATGAGCAAGAGTGCCTCTACCAAAATTGTGAATTTTATAGCCCCAGGGCTAGGGGTTCTGCTGTTAGGGCGGGGCTCTATAGATTATATAGTGATAATACCTGAATTCTTTGAAAATCTTCTTCTCTGCTCCTAGGAAATAAATAAACTACTGTGGTTTCATCAATATTCGTTGAGCACCAATTTTCGTGGATTTCGTTGTTGAGCAGATCCACGAATTCAAATGTTCATCAAATTACGAAATATGACATTCACTTGTATAGAAAATGCTTTTGTCCACGAAATTACGTATCCTCGAAACTGTCTGTTTTACAAAATCCACGAAAATTGATGCCAACGAAAATTGATGAAACCACAGTAACTAAGTGCATAGTTATGATATGCAAGAGTGCTTCTACCAAAATAATGAATTTTATGGCCCCAGGGTCAGGGGTTCTGGTGTAAGGGTGGGACTGTATTGATTATATAGTGAAATACATGATTTCTTTGAAAATCTTCTCCTCTGCTCCTAAGAAATAAATAAACTAATTAAGTATACAATGATGAGCAAGAATGCCTCTTCCATAATTGTGAATTTTATAGCCCCAGGGTCAGGGGTTCTGGTGTTAGGGCGGGGCTCTATTGATTATATAGTGAAATTACATTAAATCTTTGAAAATGTTCTTCTCTTCTCCAGGGTATTAAGCAGATGAACTACCAATATAGTTATGATGGACAAGGGCCCATATCTTCCACAATTTTGAATTTCAAGGCCCCAGGGTCAGGGGTACCATAGGGGGGGGTTGTACTTATATACTGAAAATGAATGAATGGTTTTAAATCTGCTCCTTGGTATTAATCAAATATAAAGACCGAAGGATCAGGGGTTCATGTATGGTAGGGGCACTACTGATTATTGCTGAATATTACTGATTAGTTGAAATGCATTTAGTGTTCCCTTACCCTGCGTATGGGTATTAAGTAAACAAACTTAGCAACTGCTAAGTTTATTGTTATGATGATCAATTCAATGGTGCCTCTTTCAAGATTGTGAATGCCATAGCATCTGTCTTAAAACATAAATCAAATTCAATCAATGGAAAGTTGTTGCATAATGCTTAGGTGACCTATAAGGCCCACGGGCCTCTTGTTTCAGATATATCGGGACTAAGAGTTAATATTTCGAAAACAAATACAGTATATATTGGATCAAAAAATATAGTCAAGATATCCTTTCTAGAGATTTTAATCTGAAATGGGGGACTGATAGATTCACTTTACTTGGAATTAATTTTGATGTAGAACTTCAAAATATGTCTAAACTGAATTATCAGCCAAAGTTAAGCAGAATAAAATCAATCTTGCATCAGAGGGAGAAAAGACACTTTAATCCAGTAGGAAAAATCACTGTTATCAAAACTTTGGTTCTGCCTTTATTAAATCATATTTTTATGGCAATTCCAAACCCAGATGACAATTTTTATAAAATGTTAGATAACGTATTCTTTTCCTTCCTATGGAACCACTCTCAACATAGAATAAAAAAGGATGTAATTGTTAAAACATATGAAGATGGGGGATTAAAGATGATAAATGTAAAGGCTTTTACATCTTCCTTAAAATTATTTTGGATGCGAAAACTCCTACTGTCAAATAGAGATCTACATGATTTTATACCAATGTTAGATATAAATAAAGTTACAACATGTGGAATTGAATATATTAAAAATATTTAATAAATCACTAAAAAACAAATTTTGGGCTGATGTATTTGACTCATGGATTGAGCTACATCACAAACAAAACCCAACTGCAGTTACAGCAAATGCTTCACTTTTTTATAATCCCAACATCCTTGTTTGGGGAAAGTATTTTTCAATAAATCCATGTTTGATGCTAATATCCGACACCTTAATGATATTATAAATGAAGAAGGTGTTTTCTTGACTTATGAATCAGTTCGTGATATATATCAACAAGTGAAAATTAATTTTCTAGAATACATGAGTGTTATAAGTGCTCTTAAAGCATGGATGAAAAAAGCGATTTTTGATGGAAATGTAACTAAATTACATTATGTCAAATATAAATACCCTTTTAGAATGCAAAAAATCAAAGCAATTTTATAATCTTCTCAACCAAAATAGCACAGAACCTACTAGTAAAAAAAGTGGAATGAAATATTTGAACTAAACGACAAAGAATGGAAAATGATTTTTAAATTGCCTTTTAAAGTTACAAACAATTGCAAACTGCAATGGTTCCAGTATCGAATTTTGAACAAAATTTTGGCCTCAAACTCATATCTATTTAAAATCAAAATCACAGACAACAAAAATTGTACTTTCTGTCAAGTGGAAGAAGAAACAATCGAACATTTGCTTTGGGAGTGTGATGTAAAAGATTTTTAAAGAGAATTTGAAAATTACCTTGAAAATAGAACAAATCTTCAGATATCAGTAACAAAAAATAATTTCATTTTTGGATTCTTAGATAAAAGAAAAAAAACCCAAAATAATCTCGTTCTTTGGCTTAAATATTATATCTACACAATGAGGTGCACAGGGAAGACACTTAATGTACCTGCTGCGATATCGCTTATGAATTCATTTTATGAAACTCAAAAATATATTGCATACAAAAATGGTGAAAAGGATATGTTTGATACCTGCTGGAACTACTGGAAGCTTTTATTTCAATGAATTTTTAGACTGAAATAAATATAGTGAATGCATGCACTTCTCTCTTTTCTCCCCCCCCCCCCTCAGCTTTCTCTCCTCTCTTCTCCCCCCTCCTCCCTCTCCCTTTTTCCCTTTCTTTCTAAAATGAAAAAAATACATCTTCTGTATTTGTTATTAATCATGTTTTTGTGTTAAATAACAGAATGTGTAAAACAAAAATAAAGAATTAAAAAAATAATAATAAATATAAACAATAAAATATCTTTCTTTCTTTGTTATTACTGGAATTAATGGTCGCAGCTATCGCAAAAAAAAATTACGCTTACGCGGGTTATGTATTTTTTCTGCAACAGCTGTTTCAGTTAATTCCAGTAATAACAAACAAAGAAAGCATTTCATTTTTTAAATAATTCAACAACCTGCATAAAAATAACAAATTGATTTTTGAGTTCACATGAAATCATCAAAAAATTTAAATTAGTTTCAGGTTTATTGTTTTTTTAGTTACTTAAGTGTTATTGCCTCAGACTTACATTTCATTCCTTCGCTTTGGAATTTTTCTGATGGAAACACCGCCACTTGAGCCAAAGTATTCTCTTAATGTAGAGAGATATTATTACTTTGTATTTAGTTTCAAGAGTAATAGTTTATGCATTTACATAAAAAGAATCCAATCATTGACAGTAGACAGTGAAATAAATAAAGTATATAAGAAAAATGTGACAATCAAATAAAATAAAAATGCTACAATAAGATAAAATGAATAAAAATGCATTTTGAATAAAAAATATTGACTTGATGAGCATGTTTCAAGTTGTATTGATTTTGTTACAATAATTTAAATTTCTTCAACATAGCATGTACTTTTAGCTATTCGCACAGACTTACCATTCAATCTCCTGTTGTCTGAAGGAAGTACAGCCACTTGTGCCATTGTAGTCTCTAACATACCGACATTAATTAATTATAATTAAAGTCAATGCATGATCGTGAAAAGCAATAAAATATCCATTGATAATTATACTTTAATGCTACGGTAGTATTTATAATGAAATGACACTAGGTATGATATGTGCCAAAACCAATTGCACGTAGGCCTATAGCTTATTGTTTGTTTTTTTTTTAACATTTGAATTAATTTAAATGGAACAATGTTTGGAACATTTTCAATCATTGAATTCCATTTGATTGATTGGAATTTTACTCACCTTGCGGAGAAGTTAGAGCTGGAATGACAAAAGTAGGGACGTAAATGTCTTGGCTTTCTATTTCTTCTGGCTTGTCTTCCACTTTCTCTTTTTCCATTTTAAGATAAATGTTATTTTCTTTAAAAAAAAAATTATTTCTGACTGCTTTATAAACAAACAATTAGAGCAAATTAAGATTAATAATTTTTTTTTCAAAAATGTGAATAGAAAGCAAAACCCAATTTTTACTAGTGCGAGTTGTACAACTTTTATAAACGATCCGTATCAAAACTCTTTTGAACTGAAAACTTAAAATCAAATAATTTAAACTTTACAAGCATGACAATATACAGTTAAAGTATATCATTGAGGGAGTAAGCAAGATTCTAGTTTCCTAAGACCAGGACTATTTCCCGAGGCACAGCTTGCTTACTCCTTCAATGATATGCTTTTTAACTGTTTTATTATACCGATACAAATAGAGGATTACGAATGGCGGGGAATTAGCTTCAAGAATAACACACGAGGAATTAGTCCATTAACATATAAGACCGATACAAAAGTAAAATCTAGAGGATTACGGATAAAGGGAATTAGCTTCCGAAGCAGGGATCAGCTCATTTAACTTACACACGGGAATTAGTCCATTCACTGAGAATTCTAGGGGATTATTCACATTTTACTGCGTTACTGTTATGTAGGAAAAAAATCAGTAGAGATATGATGATAAACTTTAGATACCGTATGTCCCACCGAACTGAACCATAGGCTGTTAGATTGTTCCTATGCCTGAGAAAGTACATTTAAACTATTCGTAGACACCCCCCATCTAACACAAGTTATATGGAAGTTTGTCTAGAAGAAAGTTGTTTTAGAGAGATCTTATCCCAGATAGCAGGATGTTATTGGACCTTTGTTGGGCCAACAATGCTCCTTATGCATTCAACATTGGGCCATCGGTAATTTGCTCATCGGCCCTTAATCCAACAAACTTTTTGGTTTATTGTTGGGCCAATGTAACAGTTCATATTGGGCCCATGTTGGGCCAATGTATTCTTTCAATATTGGACAAACGTCATTTTTGTACAGTTGTGCCATTGTAAGCAATTAATGTTGGGCCAGCGGTAATTTGCTCATCGACCCTTAATCAAACCAACTTGTTGGCTTATTGTTGGGCCAATGTAACAGTTAATATTGCACCACTGTTGGGCTAATGTATTTTTTCAATGTTGGGCAAACGTCATTTTTGTACAGTTGGGCCATTGTAAGCAATTAATGTAGGGCCAGCGGTAATTTGCTCATCGGTCCTTAATCAGACCAACTTGTTGGCATATTGTTGGACCAACGAACGGATATTATTGAGCCATTGTTGGGCCACTTATTCTTTCAATTTTAGGCAAACACCGTTTTGGCCAACGTTGGTTTGTAGCTTATTGGCTCTCCATCAGGACAACTCAATTTTCTTCACTGGTTGGCCATTTGTCCTCCAAATTGAATAACAAACTATATATAATAAGGTTATAGTAGTTTTGTAGTACAGTTTAATGGTAAAAGCCCTTTAATACTATATTTGCTAGATTAATAGTTCAATACATATTCACAATATCTCATAGAATTACCATCAACAAGTATTGCCTTGTATGTAGCTCTACATTAATTAAAATAATGAGGAAAAAGAAATCAGAATATAAAATAGTATTATAAAATACTAATATTTTATTACTCAGTGCATGAAGAAAACATTGATAAGGAACAGAAAGTTGATGCTCACTTGAAGCGAAACATGTAGGGTTACATGACTGTATACCCCCTCTGTGATGTAACTTTATGCATAAGTTCAGTAAATTGCAGATATCAATAAGCACGTCTAAAAAATAAACAAAGCCATCCTGTTCTCAAAACAATACTTAAATGAATCCCGCAATTTTGTTTACTTGCACAAAAAAATGTTTCTGGCATTTTCATCGTGTTTGTTACCGACAAACAGACACAGAGAAGGAGAGAACTACAGGTATGTCACAGTATATAACAGAAAAAAAGTTAGGTACTGCCTCGTTTAATCTGATCCCTCTCCTAAGTCTCCTCTTCTCTCTCCAGAGTCTCCTCATTCCCTTCTTTTCTTCTCTGCCCGTTTCTGCCTCCCTTATCCCTGTCCTTGGCATACCTTAGCCATTCTTTGATTGTGTTCTCAATGTCTTTTTAGAATCTCCAGCAGCACTAAAATTGTAATATTTAGTACTTAATACATTTGTTACTTTTCTCAGTAAAGAGTTAACATACGATTAAATTTACAAGTATTTCACAATAATTTTAAGCTGTCAATTGAGGAATAACCGTCTTTTTTGTTTCATGGTGTGATTAAGCGATTAGCTTGCATAAAAGGCATTTATGCATAAAATTTCTACGCTTGATCATCATCATCACACTGATTCAATGTTGCCCCATATGAATCATTATTCAAAGTAAAACACATGTTTAGAAAATTTGTCGGTTCAATGGATACACTTAACACATTTTAAATGAAAGAACCCAATTTATGTTTAAGTGCTGAATATATTTTGTTTTAACTTCAACATGTTCAACATTTTCAACATGTTTGATCATGTGCTCGACTTTAAGTGTATATAATTAAAATGAGTGGTAAACCTATTCTACTAAACATAAATTTCTATCTAAATAAGGGGCAGATTTTGTATTGGTTTAGCTGTATCAAAACACATTTGTTATTTTATATTTTCATTTATTTTTCTTGTATAGAAACAATAAATTTAATCACTGATAATTTATTTTGTTTTGATAAATTTTAAGAATTTTAACAGGCCTTGTAAATTTAATTTAGCTAACTTGTATTTTCAAGAAGGATTGGTGGTAGATTTATTTCTGATTTTAGAGACTATCGGATTTGTTAATATACAGATTTGTAACAATTAAATGTTTATACACATTGGCCCAATGTTGGTCCAATATATCTGGCCAACATTGGGCCAATGAGCAAAATGACACTAGGCCAACGTCATTTGCCAACATCGGCCAAATGTTCTTGCTGACGTTGGGCTAAGATTGGCCCAATGTCGCATTCAATTGGACAATGTTGTCGCAACGTTGGGCTAATATCTGTAGCAATAACACTCTACATTGGGCAAACGTTGGCACAACATATCGGGCCAACATTGAGCCGATAAGCAACTTACATTGGGCCAACGTCATTTGCCAACATTGGCCCAATGGGACCGATAACACTGGCCCAACGTTGGCCCAATGTTGCTATCTGGGACAGTGTTGACTCAACGGCACTTGGCCTCTGCACTGATTTACACAGATTTGTACACGATATCGTTTAAACTATAAACGTTTAAATTAAGCTGTTTCGAAGCAAACATATTATAAATACTTACAAAGTGGATGCAGATATGCAAGGCATCAGTCTCATGACGCTCGTGTCAGCTTAAAAATGGCGTGGAAAGTACAAGTAGCCCGGATGTTGTCTACCCAAGATGCTCAGCCAGATTCATGGTATATTGGGCCAACTTGGGGCCAATGTCAATCCCCCAACAATATTTTCTCTCACGATATTAGTTTTATGATACAACGCCAACAGTTAGCCCAACATTGGCCGCATTATACATAACCAACTATCAATATTCCTTGTAGGACCATTGTTAGCCCAATAAAGGTAACCCAACAGCGATAATACAAGCATAGTATAAGATTGGAACAACGACGTTCTGCTATCTGGGATTCACATCTTTTTCCTGAAAACTTTTAACTAACATTTATTCATTTTTCCCTACATTCTCATGAATATAACGTTCGTGAAAAAAAATCATAATTTTAAGCGTTTTATTACAAATAAATAAACATGCACACAATTCAAAAAATAGAATAAAACACTCTTTGGCCCTGTGATCACTTAAATTCAAAGTTAAAATGTTGAAAATATCATATCTAAACAAAAGCAATCATCCAATGGAAAGCATGGACATAGAATATCCTCTTAAATATTTCAGAATATGCATCTAAATTAATATTTGGAACCAACGTTGCCCCAACGTAAAGCTCAGCAGCTAATTATAAAATTGACACCATCATTTAGTTGGCAATATAATAATTGGACCAACGTTGGCCCAATATAAATATCCCATCTTTGAAACACCTAACAAAATAACATTCTTGCTAACATCGGGCCAACGTTGGGCAAACATTCAATTACCAACTTGATAAGACACTTTCTTTACGGGTGTATTACAATCATTGGGCCAACGTTGGGCCAACATACAACTACCAACTTGATAAGACACTTTCTTTAAGGGTGTATTACAATCATTGGGCCAACGTTGGGCCACCATACTACTACCAACTTGATAAGACACTTTCTGTAAGGGTGTACTACAAACATTGGGCCAACCTTGGGCCAACATACAACTACTAATTTGATTTGACACATTCTTTTCGGGTGTACTACAAATATCGGGACAACATCGGGCCAAAATACAACTACCAATTTGAAAAGACACTTTCTTTAAGGTTGTATTATATACATTGGGCCAACATTGGGCCAACGTTAGCATCCTTCCTTCCTTGGAAATTAAAGTGAATGGAAATTGCTTATGTTGGACCAACGTTGGGCCAACATAGGAATTCTGTCATGGTCGAGAAGGTTGACATGGTAGCACTGGTCCAACATTGGCCCAACGTAGTTCCCCCAACGCCAACCATACAACCTTTTACCAGTGTTGACCCTACATAGTCATGCTATCTGGGATTGGTGTAAAATAAAATTAATTCTTCTCTGATATCAGAAAGAACAACGATGTCCTTTAAAACCAAGACCTTATAGTATGCCAGGTTTACGATTTTACAGAATCCTAGGTTCACAACTGAAAATAGTTCCTGAACCTCTTCAATATGGGCATTTTTTGCAGGACATGGACTAATCTTTTTTATGAGATGATAAAATATATGTACATTTATTTCAGTTTAGCGGAATCAGCTGAATGAAGAGTTTTGATGAGGCTTTCTAACAACTGCAGGAACCGATTCCAATATTTTGAATTTACTTAAACGATGGAAATGAAATCGAAATAACTGCAATAATTATTAATACGAGAGTCATTCAAAAATACGTAGACAATGTTCCACATTGTCATAATAATATTACATGATATTCGTTCAAATATAAAAAGGGGGATCCTCAACCTGTCACATGTATTTAAACATCCTTGATAATCTACTTCACATCCTTGTAAATCATAATCAAGTTTCATTTCTCGTTTCAAATATTTCATTTAATAAAGACGTCAATGAAATTTAACAAAAACAGTCAGTGCATCTATGAGTACAAATCCTAGCTGTAGTGTAGATAACGCCCATTAGGCATAATAATTATAATAAATTTTCTATATTTGGCATGATAGAATACAGTGCATTGCAGTGTAAGTGCAGTAGAGAAACTAGGGCTAATTGTAACGGAAACCGTAACAGATGTTCCCCAAACGCTCCCCCACTCCCTTTCGGTGCCTTATTCCCTGTAAGCCTCATTAAAAAGATGAACTCTATGCCTTTTAGACTATAACAGTGTTTTGCCAGAAGTATACCAAGTATATTCAAATTTATGCATTGCACGCGTGCGCATTTGAATGCATGTGCGTAATGACCATGTCATCTTGTTTGCACTATTTATATATTTTAATTTACAGGATATTACCGCATTTAATCCAAAAGTATTTTAAAATGCGTTTAATCAAGTGTATTTGTAATTTTACTCATTTCACGTGCACGCACGTGCATACATGTGCATGCTGACCATACTTTTTTGTAGGAATCCCTTATGTTTATCTATGTTCTAAATCCTATCTTGTTTGGTTAAAAAACAAGGGAGTTATAGCCATTTCAAGTTTCAGCCAATCAGATTGCAGCACACATGCATGCACGTGATTTGATGAATGTTTTACTATATCGTATTGTAGGATATCCTAATGAATGACCATGTTTTAAATCTCAAAACATTTCGTTGAAAAACAAAGGAGTTATAACAATTTCAAGTTTCAGCCAATCAAATTGCAGCACACGTGCATGCGCATAATTTCTTTTTAATTTTTTTGCATATCATGTTGCAGGATATCCTAAGGTATGACTATGTTTTAAAAGTTTACAAAAGTTCCAAGTATGTAATTGTTTAGAACATTATTCTGACCATCTTTTGTTCAATATTGCTTATCAAATTATTCCCCCTTTTTGAGATATGAAGCGTCAAAGATTAAAATGCTGGACCCTTGTGACCCCTACATGTAATTACGTAACATATGATCAAAATTTTATCATATATTATTGCAAATTGTTAAGATGAATACCTTGCGTCAGTAATGTATAAAAATATTGATTATCAGAGAGTAATAGATAAAAGACTTTTGGCCCCTCTGAGCCCCTAATTTGAGAAGTCAGCCCCATTTTCTTGATATCAAAGGAAAGGTCTTGTGATTTTCACATTTTTTCTTCAATATTTTTTTTCACAAATTATGAATAGGTATGAAGATATGAAACAAAATGTGTCAAATTGTGTGAGATATTTTTGAGCCATTTCTTAAACCCAGGCGAGCTTTGGTGCCTTTTGCACTGGATAGAAATAGTCTCAGAATGGCACTTCTACACTTCATCCTCTATCTACACTGAATATCTCTAGTCGTTTAGGAGGAGTTACCAGTTCTCACGACCGGAAGTGACGATCTCAGTATAAAAATTTTCCAATAAGGTTCAGATCAATATTTATTAGATTTGAAAAATTGGTAAAAATCCATCGAGCTGTTTCCGAGAACACGCGTGCACAAAATCGGTACGAATAATGATAAAAACTAGATACATGTACGATGTCATTGCGAGCAACGAGTGGGTCTTCCGTCCGATTCTTGATGAGATGAAATAAGATTTTGATTGAGATTTTCATTCTAAAATGAGAATTTTCTATAATATGTTAAAAGACATTGAACATTAAAGACGTAAAAAAAATCGGCTTTTGGCCCCTCACGGCCCCTATTTATAGGAATCAGTCCTTTTTCTTCATATCATCTTAAAGCTCTAAGGATTTTGATCACTTTTGTTCAACAACCATTCAGAGATTCTTTTTCGTTTTCGAGTTATTTCCATCAGAAATATTTAAGGGCCAACCCTTCAACTCCTTAATAGGGTGCATATTGTTCAGAACATTATTTTGAACATCTTTTTTTTCAATATTACTTATCAAAATATTCCAAACTTTTGAGATATAAAGCGTCAAAGATTGAGCATTTTGGCCCCTTATGGCCCCTAATTATGTAACATACGACATCAAATCATAATATACAGTTGTAGATTGTTGAGATAAACATTTTTGCTTCATTAGTGTATATCAAATATTGCTTGCTATAGAGGTATCGATTAAAGACTTTTGGCCCCTCTCGGCCCTTAATTTGAGTGTCAAGCCCTTTTTTCTGGATTTTACTTTAAACCTCTAATGATTTTGAACACTTTTTGTTTAAAAACTATTCAGAGATTCTGTTTCGTTTTCGAGTTATTTGCAAAAGAAATATTTAGGGGCCAGCCCTTCAACTCCTTCATGGGGACATTTAGCGAAAAATGAAAGGTTGCATATCGTTCAAAACATGATTTTGAACTTTTTTGTTCAATATTACTTATTAAAATATTTCCCACTTTTGATATATGAAGCGTCAAAGATTTAGCATTTTGGCCCAATATGGCCCCTAATCATGTACCATACGACATTAAAATCATGATACATAGTTGTAGATTGTTGAGATAAACATTTTTGCTTCAGTAATGTATATCAAAATATTGCTTGCTAAAGAGGTATCGATTAAAGACTTTTGGCCCCTCTCGGCCCCTAATTTGAGTGTCCAGCCCCTTTTTCTAGATTTTACCTTAAATCGTTAGTAATTTAACGGTTATATACAGTCAGTGATGTTGATGACGTATTATGTTCTGATGATCGTTATGATACTAACGTTCACTGCTCATATATATAACCTTCTATAGTGGTCACGTAATCAAAACAATCCACTGAATAATTGTCCTTTCTGGAGCCCCTCAGAACTACTTTACATACATATTGTTTCATACAAAGAAAACAATGTCGCTAAAAATTCCCTTTCTGCATGTAAGGAAGAATCTATAAATTCTATTTGATATACATAATAAAAATAAGTTCAACAAAAAATCTGTAATTAAGCGGACACACACAATCCACGGCGTAGTAATACCGGACAATAATGCGCACACATAAGTATTATGTTATACACTCAAGTTCAAAACATTTCGTCAAACAAAACATAATTAAATGAAAATACTGCAATAAAATAACATTTAAGTATCAATTATAAGCATTTGATGACACGGACAGTGTTATATTGATCTTATCAATTGTAAAACGATAATGTTTATGTCACATGACTATGTTTTTTTCGTAAGAAAGATCACAGGCGCCCAATTTACAACACTTATAATAATGCTGAAATAATTAAGTAAATTGCAGGCGTAATATGGTAGATAATGATGAAAAACTGACGTGTTATATCTTAATATCACTGTCCCTTACTGTCTGTTCATCAATATCTCGCTAGATCGTCTAGTAATACAAAAACAGCATTTGTTTACATAACAATGTCGAAGTGCAATGTGTATTGCATCAATAATTCATGTAAACGATAAGATAATGAAATAACATGAACAATAAAACATTTATAATAAATTACAATTTGATGCAACTTTACATAAAAAACACTCCACCATCAGCCTGTGATTAATATGCAAATAACAATACTTTCAATTTATAGATATATATAGCTACAGAACTGTTGAGTTGTGGTCTTCCACCTTGGTCTTTGACAATACCACTACAGATCCTATGATGCAAATATAATGCAATTCACGCCGCAAAATTTTCAGCGCACTTTTGGGGAGAATTTTTCTACTTTCCAGCATTGGTCGATGAACTACGTTTCACTTCCAATTATAGATAGGTTTTCTAACCAACCTGTATCTTTTAAGGCACCTCCTTACCCAAAATAGTCGTGTCTACAGACCAATAATTCGCTTGTTTTGAATTGTTGTTGGATAGAAGGAAATTTAAAACTGTCTGTGGAGAAGATGACTATAAAGGGATAGGAGGTGGATAAGATATACAGGTTGTTTTAAAAATTAAGGAGTTAAACGTATACTTCTTTGACAAAGCTGGAAAGTGGAGAAATTCTCCCCAAAAGTGCGCAGAAAATCTTGTGCCATACAGGATATGTATCCATATAGTTAAAGACTAAACTATAAAATCATAGCGCCACAGTTCGGCAACCAAGAAAAAATAATTATAAATCTAAATATCCTCCTACATTCTTAACAAAAATCATGTCCAATACATACATTATTTATCTTGGTTGCTTCAAAAGGCCACCCATGATATATATATATATCTTTTTTCTTTTTTCAAAATTTTTGTCTATTTTCGTTTCCAATTAAACACAGATGCTCGTTGACCTGCAAACATAGTAAGTATAAAACGTACGCTCATCTTGGACAGAGTCACAACTATGAAGGCTGTTACTCCGTTACAATATATAGCTTATTGCAACAGCTTAGTGAAAGTACGTAAAATTGTTTTACTAGGAAGCCTTTAAAAATGTTAACCAACAAACAGAAAATAAATTAAAAAAGCTTTAGAATAATTATCTCCGATCAAAGTAACACACCCTGGTTTCCTTATTTTTATAAAAAATATATAAGAATAGGTTACCTTTGGTTTCAGCATTTGCAGATCTTATGGAAAGATGGGGTGGGGGTTGTTGTACGACATTACCCCTTTGACTGTTTTACTGATAAGTTGTATAATGATTGGGTGATAAATATTGTTAGGTTACCTCTGGTCTCTCACATGATTTATCATATCATTTCATGATTGGCGACCTTATCGATAAAACACTCTAGCTATTTTATGGCCTTCTTATTGATGCAATAGAACAGGTGTTCCCCTTATATCCCCCTGAATAGAAGGTTGAGCATCTTCTGGCACACCTGCTGCAGGGATCTTTCTAAACTGTAAAAATTGTGTGGAGGGGGCTTTGACATTCCTTATAAATATACAATATGTGTACAATAAATTTAGTTCTGGGGATTTGGCAGTGCATCATCACACAGTTGCCTTATTGATAATATACTTTATGCGTTTAGCACGTTTGTACCGCTTTAAGGATGATTCAGACTGTGTGAGATGATATTAGACTGCCATGAGCATATTTTTCTTATCATTTTCTTACCATCGAGGTTGTTTGTTGTAATGTTTTTCAAAATTGTTTCAGTACGATTAAACAATCTTTTAACCTGTTACGACGCGAAACCTTGCTTGGCCTCAAGCAGGGATCCAGATAACTTCTGGTTTGATTAAATTTTGACCAAATCTTTCAAACTGAGAAAATTTGGCGATGAAAATGACGCACAGCATATAGAAAAATTTTATTGTATTTAAAAAGTTTTTTGTTTAGGTTAATTTTTATAAAAAATATTAAGGAAAAAAAGTCAAGGTCAAAAGGCCAGAATAATGGGTATCCAATGAAAGATTTTCCACAAAGAATACATATGAGAAGTATGGAAGCCCAGCACTGGTCCAAACCCTTCAAAAGCTATAGCAAACGTTAAAAATTTTAAAAATGAAAGATCTTGTCACAAGGATTAAATCTGGAAAGTATGGAAGTTATGGTCAAGATTTGTTTTTTGAAAGTCAAACTCCAAGATCAATGGGTCAGAGATCTTGGTATCCAATGAAGGATTACATGAATATGTTAAGTATGAGAGCACTAGCCCTTAGTGTTCAAAATTTATGGCCAGGGTTAATGTTTTTTCATAAGTACGGAAATCTCCAAGGACAAGATCAAAAGGTCAAAGTTGTTGGTATCCAATAAAAGGTCTTTCCATAAAAAAAGACATATATGAAGTATTAAATTCCTGGCATTTATTGTTTAAAAATATGGCCAAATTAACAGTTTGGAATTTTTGTGTAAAAGTTGGACAAACTCCAAGGTCTATGTCAAATTTGGTGGTACCCAAAGAAAGGCATTGTCACAAGGAATACACATGTGAAACCTGAAAGTCCACCAAATCATAAGTCATGGGCAATGTTAATTTTTTTCGGACAAACAGACAGACAGACATCTAGACAGACAGACATGACAAAAAGTACATACCACTGAAACGTCCTCAACAGGGACATAATAAACGCTTCAAATAAAAGTGAGTAAAGAGTGGTGCGAGGATGATCCAGCCATCAACATTCCAACGGCTCTTCCTCCTTTTTCAAAGGTCATTAAGCTAAATAAATGTTTTGTGTTTTTAGTTAAACCAGTTTTTAAAAATTGATACTGTTCACAGAAAGAAGATAATTACACAAAATACGTGTCGCAAAGTACATATTTATTGATTGTAAACTTTGTCAATGTACATTGTTTTCATCGGTAATCATGGGTTATATCCCTTCAGTAAAAGTGAGACTGAGATCAAATGTGAGCTTGTCTAAGTTTTAAGCCCCCAATGCCTGGACTTCCTAATTATTTGCAATATAACGTGACCTCTCCTCTCCCTAATACATGTAATGTACAATATAAGATGAACTCTGGTCTCCCCAATACATTTGATGTACAGTATAACTTGAACTCTGGTCTGCCTAATACATGTTATACAATATAAGATGTACTCTGTTCCAACCTATAATGTAATGTACAATATAAGATGACCTCTGTTCCACCTAATATATATAATGTACAATATAAGATAACCTCTGGTCTCCCTGATACATGTAATGTATAATATAAGATTATCTCTGGTCTCCCTAATACATGTAATGTACAATATAAGATGACCTCTGGTCTCCCTAATACATATAATGTACAATATAAGATGACCTTTGCTCCAACTAATACATTTAATGATACGTAAAATGGAGTTTTACAGCAAATATTGTTAATATTTTGTGATATTCATATGGAGTTCAGTTAATAAAACAGGTATGTTAATTTATTTTCATTTATTTTATTCTCTTTCAAAGACAGTCAGCTATATACACGTTATATTTTTTTAAAAATTACTATCCCTATACATTTCACACAGTATAATCTAATGCTCTCTCATTAAAAACATTTTCTAATACTTGGTATATATTTTTTAACAATCGTTCTCTTTGTATTATTTCCATTATTAATTTTTTAAATAACTTAACTCTTGATTTCACATTATAAGTAACTCCGAAGCGCCTTGTATTTCCTTTATGTTCCAACTTTTCAATGTTTTTGTCATATTTTTACAGTTAAACCTTGTCTTTATAGATTGTCCACATCCGATACAGTGTCTCTGTTACTCAGATACTACCTGTACTATTTGTACACACATGCACAACTCACTTGTGACATATGTTTTTTGTTTCCTTCATGGTTTTTAGAGTGAATAAAGGATTTTTCTTGAGTAAAACACAAAATAGCATCGTTAGCTGCTGCTCCGTGTCGTACTAAAATATCATTGTTTTTGTTATTTTCAATGAGAACTACTTATCTTCTCAAATTGATTTTTTTTCAAGGAAACAAAATATTAAGCTGTAAGACTACATGTACAGACATCATTTAGTGTATTGTTTGTAAATTACTAAATTTTTTACCTGCTCCGCTATCCTATTTTTGCATTTTCTAAATCAGGATAAGTTTGAATGAATTGTGATATTCTTTTTAAATAAGTAATTCAAATCATTTGAATTTATTAACTTAAGATATTTCTTTTGAATTTAGACAACATATGATTTCAAATAAAATAGATATGACAGTAGTCCACGAACTTTCGGAACAACCTTCGTACATTAAATGTATTAGTTGGAGCAAAGGTCATCTTATATTGTACATTATATGTATTAGGGAGACCAGAGGTCATCTTATATTGTACATTACATGTATTAGGGAGACCAGAGATAATCTTATATTATACATTACATGTATCAGGGAGACCAGAGGTTATCTTATATTGTACATTATATATATTAGGTGGAACAGAGGTCATCTTATATTGTACATTACATTATAGGTTGGAACAGAGTACATCTTATATTGTATAACATGTATTAGGCAGACCAGAGTTCAAGTTATACTGTACATCAAATGTATTGGGGAGACCAGAGTTCATCTTATATTGTACATTACATGTATTAGGGAGAGGAGAGGTCACGTTATATTGCAAATAATTAGGAAGTCCAGGCATTGGGGGCTTAAAACTTAGACAAGCTCACATTTGATCTCAGTCTCACTTTTACTGAAGGGATATAACCCATGATTACCGATGAAAACAATGTACATTGACAAAGTTTACAATCAATAAATATGTACTTTGCGACACGTATTTTGTGTAATTATCTTCTTTCTGTGAACAGTATCAATTTTTAAAAACTGGTTTAACTAAAAACACAAAACATTTATTTAGCTTAATGACCTTTGAAAAAGGAGGAAGAGCCGTTGGAATGTTGATGGCTGGATCATCCTCGCACCACTCTTTACTCACTTTTATTTGAAGCGTTTATTATGTCCCTGTTGAGGACGTTTCAGTGGTATGTACTTTTTGTCATGTCTGTCTGTCTAGATGTCTGTCTGTCTGTTTGTCCGAAAAAAATTAACATTGCCCATGACTTATGATTTGGTGGACTTTCAGGTTTCACATGTGTATTCCTTGTGACAATGCCTTTCTTTGGGTACCACCAAATTTGACATAGACCTTGGAGTTTGTCCAACTTTTACACAAAAATTCCAAACTGTTAATTTGGCCATATTTTTAAACAATAAATGCCAGGAATTTAATACTTCATATATGTCTTTTTTTATGGAAAGACCTTTTATTGGATACCAACAACTTTGACCTTTTGATCTTGTCCTTGGAGATTTCCGTACTTATGAAAAAACATTAACCCTGGCCATAAATTTTGAACACTAAGGGCTAGTGCTCTCATACTTAACATATTCATGTAATCCTTCATTGGATACCAAGATCTCTGACCCATTGATCTTGGAGTTTGACTTTCAAAAAACAAATCTTGACCATAACTTCCATACTTTCCAGATTTAATCCTTGTGACAAGATCTTTCATTTTTAAAATTTTTAACGTTTGCTATAGCTTTTGAAGGGTTTGGACCAGTGCTGGGCTTCCATACTTCTCATATGTATTCTTTGTGGAAAATCTTTCATTGGATACCCATTATTCTGGCCTTTTGACCTTGACTTTTTTTCCTTAATATTTTTTATAAAAATTAACCTAAACAAAAAACTTTTTAAATACAATAAAATTTTTCTATATGCTGTGCGTCATTTTCATCGCCAAATTTTCTCAGTTTGAAAGATTTGGTCAAAATTTAATCAAACCAGAAGTTATCTGGATCCCTGCTTGAGGCCAAGCAAGGTTTCGCGTCGTAACAGGTTAAAAGATTGTTTAATCGTACTGAAACAATTTTGAAAAACATTACAACAAACAACCTCGATGGTAAGAAAATGATAAGAAAAATATGCTCATGGCAGTCTAATATCATCTCACACAGTCTGAATCATCCTTAAAGCGGTACAAACGTGCTAAACGCATAAAGTATATTATCAATAAGGCAACTGTGTGATGATGCACTGCCAAATCCCCAGAACTAAATTTATTGTACACATATTGTATATTTATAAGGAATGTCAAAGCCCCCTCCACACAATTTTTACAGTTTAGAAAGATCCCTGCAGCAGGTGTGCCAGAAGATGCTCAACCTTCTATTCAGGGGGATATAAGGGGAACACCTGTTCTATTGC